TCTCAACTGTGATATTTAAATATGAAGGGGTGGCGCTATTTACATATGAAAAAGGCACAACTCATTCTTCCGAGAAAATTTATGTGTGTCGCTAGAGTGTTCGGGTTTCGATGGAAGAAAAGGTGGCAAACCTACATGTGCCGTAGTGGCGCCTGAATGTCAGTTTTATTGCAGTGACTACAGCGCCGTGAGTGTTGGGACGGCCGCCTGTAGTCCATCTCCAGAGAGAGAGAGCGCAACATCGTCCCAACCATACCGAGTAAACTTTACATCCAGACACTTCCTGTCCTAGAGTAACAGCTTGCTCAGAAATGATTCAGGCCTCGTTCACACCTGAACGTTTTGTAGCGAGTTCTACGCTCGACGAACGCTCTACAAAACGCTCAAACATCTAAATCCCATTGTATTCAATGGGTCTGGTTCCCACCTGGGCGTATTTCAGCCCGTCCCTAACGCGCTACAAAACGGCCCACGCCTGGAAAGGTACAGGTACTACTTTGGGCCGTTTTTGTTGCGCGTTTCCATTGGGATACAGTGGCGGCAGCGGCATCATTAGGTCTCCCTTCTAGTACCTAGAACTACAGGGGGCATGAAGGCAGCTGCTGTGTCTCAGTGTCGGGCAGAAGTTCCCATAAAGCCATATTACAGAAAGGGGCCTGGAGAACATAGAAGTGGGGTCAGGAGCCCCGTCCAGCTTAAAAAAAAAAAAAGATCCAAAACAATAAAAATAGATCAGAAAAAAAAAAAAGATCCAGATTGGAGTTCTGCTTCCTGATGGTGACAGCAGCGCCCCGTGTCTTTACAATGTATCAGCACAGCCGGCCGTAGTCTCCTTCAGCCCTCGTTCACACCTGTACGTTTTGTAGCGCGTTCTACACTCGACGAACGCTCTACAAAACGCTCAAAAATATAAATCCCATTGTATTCAATGGTCTCGTTCCCACCTTGGCGTATTTCCGCCCGTCCCTAACGCGCTACAAAACGGCCCACGCCTGAAAAGGTACATGTACTACTTTGGGCCGTTTTGTTGCGCGTTTCCATTGGGATACAGCCAAGTAGCCTTCGGAAACACGAATCGCGGTAAAAACGTGGGACAGACGCGCATATGCAATACGCCTAGGTGTGAACCAGAGGTTAGAGGCACATATGACAAGGTGACAACGCAGCAAAAGAATTAGGAGACAGGAACAGAGCGTTGTCACACTATAACAGGAAGTACCTGAAGAAGGCCCATGATGGGAGGAGCACCAGAGATTATTTTAATGAAAGCTACAGATTGAAAACGTAACATTGATTTTAACATGTTGGAGTTTTTATAATGATTCAGCTTAGCTCAATGTTACCACAGAACGTGTATACCTCATGTCACAGGCATTGAACCTTACCCTTGCCTACAGCAGAGGAGGAATTAGCGGAGGAATGTCGGCTATGTCTGGTACACAGTAGTATTTGTCTTAGAAGATATGAGGTTGGAAGGATCGAGGTTTGCCGTCTCCTGGGACACATCACGGCCTCCGGGGAGGTGACAGAACATTACTAGGCAATCCAACGTCACCTGCGTCCTCCCCGGCCCTCTGCCAACACCGCACTGTTCTATTAATACGGTGAGATTGGGTGACACTTGGAGAGTTGTTGGGGTAATTCAACAATACAAAATCTAAAGCAGAAACCATGCAACAAAAAATAAAAAGGAAGCTTTGGATCCGGTATGGTGCAGTTAAAACTTGCGTCATGTTTAAAGTGACACTAAACTCCGGAGTTAAACCTTAAAAATACATTCCAGTCCCTGAACTCTGAACAACAATGTATCTTATTTCTGTGTCACTCGGCTGTAGATCCTCCAATCATCTCTGACACTGTCCTTCCTTCTGGAGGGGGGCTACGTCTGTTCCCCATGGTCCCTGTGTGTGTTGTAGAGTAGTCACCGCTCCAAGCTCCACCCAACCCGGGATGGACTACAATCTCATATTTAGTTTTCTAATTTGTATTGAGATTGTAGTCCATCCTGGGATTGAGCTTGGAGCGGTGACTACTTTACAACACACACACACACACACACACACACACACACACACACACACACACGGACCATGTGGAACAGACGTAGCCCCCCTCCAGAAGGAAGGACACTGTCAGAGATGATTGGAGAATCCACAAATAAGATACATTGTTGTTCATAGATAAAAAAGGTACCTGAATGCATTTTTAAGATTTAACTCCTGAGTTTAGTGTCACTTTAACAATTGCAGTCTGTACCCCAATGGGGAGATTACCCCTCGCTTCCTGTTCTAAAGACACAGCAGGAAGTGAGAGGAACACAGAAGTGAGTATACATCATCTCTTAGACAGCTGTCACTGGAGAAGATGGCACCACTGGATGATTTACATTCTATTTCTGTTCTGGTGACAACTAAAAAAATAAATAAAAAGAGAACATTGGATTTCTGTTGCAGTGGTCACCAGGGCCAAGACAGTGAACCTCCCCAATAAAAAAGAAGACGTTATAATCCATCCATACTACATTCTAAACTTGATGGGGGGGTGGTAGCTGGAATGGCAACGTGCACCAAAACTCCTCAAGAATTACTTTAATACCTTTTTAAGTGAAAATTATTATTTTTTAAATGCTACAGAAACCTTTTTAGATGGTTCTAATGGTGGTCACATGACTAGTTCTATGCCTCCTCCTGTGGGCGGTGACCATCAGCGAACGTGCCGTAATTCCCCGGAAGCGCCTTCAGAATTACCGTGCGTCGGAAGAAGGGTCCGACGTGTAAAATTATAATGGATTGGGGAAGCTTCCAGGTGCTGATCGGGATTATAGATCTGCTTGGCGACCACATAGCGGCGTCAGGATTGGTGAGCAGGAAGCGGAAGGATCCACACGTGATTTATTATAACCGGAACGTATCAGAATTGTATTTATATTAGAGGAAACTATTTTTATCCGGAGAAACACTTTATATCAAAATGTTTATTTTAAACCGAGTTGAATGTTTTAGGACAAACCTTCGATGGAACGCGACTTCCTGCGTCTCTCCGCTCAGTGTTACAACTTGTGATGTGATCGATATTTTTCTATGGCGGAAGGTTTATTTCCTCCTGCACAGAAAACGTTTACATATAATGAATGACGAGGACGATGTAACGATGTGCCAATTATTAAAGAGACGATTCCTCACTGAACCCGACTCACCGAAACTTTGTTACACAATCGCTGAAACCGGCGCCGACAGAGAGAGCGAGCGAACGCAGGCCAGACAGAGAGAGAGAGCGAGCGAACGCAGGCCAGACAGAGAGAGAGAGAGAGAGAGAGCGAACGCAGGCCAGACAGAGAGAGAGAGAGAGAGCGCAGGCCAGACAGAGACAGAGAGAGCGCAGGCCAGACAGAGAGACAGACAAGGAGACAGAGACACGGGAGCCAGGCGGAGATTTGACTTTTGTATATTTAGGAAAGAAAGCATCATAAAACAGAATTCACAATCGGAATGCGTTTCCATACAAACCAAAGTCTTGCTCAGGTGACCAATGATAAACTTTAGCGCTAGAATTAAGCCCCTCCCCCCTTTCGCTAAAAACCACATTTGGGGATGGAAAAAAAAAGAAGTAGTGATACAATCTCCAAAAATAAATTACAATTTGATCTACAGTAAAGTTTACATATCAAAAATAGTAAAAAATAGCAGTTAGTGTTCTAGAGAAGAAAGAAGTAAAAACGCCGCGTTCGGGGCGGTCTGATCGGGGAGGGAATACGCAGTTGGGAATCGCTGAGGTGGGCAGGAAGTCTCCTCGGTATCGGCATCGTATTTGTGCCCATCGGCCAATCACAATTTGAATTGCCATCAAAGCCGGCAGCCAGTGTTTTGGCCGGAGTTGAATAACCCAACTCCGGCCAAAACTATGTTGGATGGAGCAGGGGAGGGGTTAGAGCCCCTGTCAGGCCCCTATTGCCGTCTATGCCCCTATTGGGGGGACTTTCACTAATTTCCTGTCACCCCAAACAGGACAGACACAAGTGGGGGGAATTTAATCAAAACTGGAAAATACAGAATCTGAAGTAGCTGCCCAGGGCAACCAATCCGCTTCTCTCTTCAGTCTGTTCAGTTAAGGTTTGAAAATGAATGAGAGAAGCGGATTGGTCGCCCTGGGCAGCTACTTCAGATCAGTGACGTGCGGTACCTCTGGTTCCGGGTGAGGCGTTCCCCAGCATGTCCCGCCCCTGCTGGCCGAAGCCCCACCCCCAACCCGGTCCCTAAGCTAGTGTGGAGGAAGGGAGGAGTCTCCCTGTCCCTCACTTGCTCGTCACTGCTGAGGCATCGAGATCGATGGCCTCTGTGGTTTTTTTTAATGGACAGCTTGTAGCGGGTCACCGGCTACATCTACACTTTGTTGGTCCTGGTCGGGACTTTCTGTAGAGAGACCAAAAACATCACGGGGGCTGTGCTAACACACACTATGCATTGCGGTGCGCTGTGCTAACACACACTATGCATTGTAGTGCGCTGTGCTAACACACACTATGCATTGTAGTGCACTGTGCTAACACACACTATGCATTGCGGCGCACTGTGCTAACACACATTATGCATTGTAGTGCGCTGTGCTAACACACATTATGCATTGCGGTGCGCTGTGCTAACACACACTATGCATTGCGGCGCACTGTGCTAACACACATTATGCATTGTAGTGCGCTGTGCTAACACACTATGCATTGCGGCGCGCTGTGCTAACACACACTATGCATTGCGGTGCCTTTCACTTTAAATGTCTCAGAATGTGACTTCAATGAGAATGCGTTGCAGCACCCCCGACGCCAGGTGACACCACTGTGCATTGCGGTACGCTGCGTTGCCTAAAACGCTGCGACTCGCCTCCCTGGACTCCACCCCCGAGTCACTTTTGAGCAGACCGGTCATATAATATTCCCAATAAACACGGAGTGGTCCCAGTTTTCATACAAATTACAACTTCTACACATCAGATTATTATTATAAGAAAGATTTACATGGCAGTGACAGCAAATGTTACATGAAAAGCAACAAAGTAACACTATACAGGAGGAGTGAGCGGAGTACTTCCCGGAAATGTCTTGGCTCCGCCCCCTTCTACAGGAGTATCTGCAAAAAAGAAGTCAAGGCGACTGCTGGACTCGCTGTATGTTCTATGAAGACGTTTCACTGGTCATCCGACCAGCTTTATCAATTCAGAATGACTTGTCCACAAACGTCTGGCTGAGGAAGCTCATTCTGAATTGAGGAAGCTGGTCGGGTGACCAGTGAAACGTCTTCATGGAACATACAGCGAGTCCAGCAGTCGCCTTGACTTATTGTTCACAGACATACCATGTGACCTGGAGGTATGAGAACCTTCACAGACACTATAAAGGAGGTCGTTGGATTCTGCCCGGAGTTCTTCTTTATCAAATGTCTCCCCCCTCCCCCGGTCCAGCAGAGGCGAAAAATATCCAGCACTATGGATCTCATTACATTCCAACAAAGAATTTCCGACCCGCCGCCAAATACTGACGTATATACAGCAACACAAACCCGGCTTCCTCCATCATGTGACCGTCCCGTACTGGAGGGACTACGCAGGCGGCCAGTACAGAGTTCCTTCCGAAAATGTACATATTCTCCTCCTAATCTCCTCCCCCAAGCCCTGATGAAGGGGCGTCCTAGTCCACGTAATGTGTTGGGACAAATGTATGGAAAATACTGGACAATTGTAGTGGAATCATCTCCGTATGGGGACTACTCTTGGGGGTGGTAGTCCATTCAAGTTCTCTCTGTGGTATGGGGACTGCTCTTGGGGGTGGTAGTCCATTCAAGTTCTCTCTGTGGTGTGGCGGTATTCAACCTCCCAGGCCAGACTATGCAGACAATGTAGAACATACACATTGCATCTCTATATCCCGGGCTGGTTTCCCTTCTACTCATCCTCACATCTCTCTCTACCTCCTCACTCTCATTTCCCTCACTTTGCTCTCTCCTCCAGTCCCCGTCCACTCTAGACACTCCCCCTACTAAGCTGCACCACAAAGAACGGGTTTAAAAGGAAACCGGTCATGAAAAATGATGCAGGCTTCCATGGCTGACCAGTCCAGAGGCTGTTATACTGGTGCTTCAAGTCCATCTCAGTTGCTAAATGCGTGTCCTGGGCTAGAGACTCACGTCGTACCAAAGCCAGGCACCAGCCAGGTGATTGGCATTTGCAGGAAGCTTTCTGCAGCAGCCGCCCTTGTAGTTCCATCACTTCCTTTATTATGTACACATTCTGCAATGTAGAGAGGTGGGAGGTGCATGACCCGTTATCGCCGCCCCCAACTAATAGGAGCCTATAGAGCTGTGCCGCCTCCGGCTTCAGTATAACTGCCCCCATATGCAGCAAGTCACGGCCTGAAGCCAGAGGATTAGAGTCTCAGGAGGGGGTCAGCAATGGTAGCCCCATATCCCCACCCCCTCTCCTCATCCCAGTAAAAGTGTACCAACCAATCATAAAAGAACCCGCCCCCTCGGAATACTGAAACAGGTAAGCCACGCCCCCTAATTCTGACAACTGCAGGCCCGCATTTGGGTGACAGTTGGCTCCTCCCATCGACGTTCTACAGGATGAAATTTTTTAAAAAAGTCACCGAATATAAAATCCCCAAAAACAAGCTGTACGAGATAACGGTAACGGAAGCGCCTGGCGCCATGACGCAAGCGCGCAGTTTCCTCTCCAGCTCAGTTCTAGGAAAGACCCCGGACCCCATCGCCCAGGAGGGGTTGGGTGACGTCAATGACATTGTACTAGACCGGGATGGCCAAGGTGGAGATCGGAAGCGTAAGGTGGTTCTCCTTCACGTTAAATCGCGCAGATCCCAGCGCGGCTCGCGGTCGAATGTTACCGCAAATCGTTCAACATTGCAGATGTCCGGGAAACCAGAGCGGGCCGCGCACAGAACAGTCCAGTGTATCGCTTGAAGAAAATAAAAAATGGAGGTTGTCAGTTTATTGGCCGACCTGTCCGGCTTTTCCCAGAATCCTCTCTGCCGACGTCTTTCATTGTAGCACTCCATATCACAGTACGAGATGGGGTCCCCTCCCCCCCCCGTCATTTACAGCTCCGTGGTGAGTAGACATCGCGGTCTGGGCGGTTCCTCAGTAACCATCGCGCTGCGGACAAACAATACACACGGAATGAATATGGCGACCTCGGGATCGCGAGGAGCGTCCACTCTAAAAAGCATTTATCATCACAAATCTCTCTATAGAGTCCTTAAAGTGGACCTGTCATCCGATATACAACAATTCCAGGTATTACCGCTCACAGTGATCACAGTCCTCCCCCTGACAAGCTCTCCAGAAGGCTGCGGCCATCTTTGTTCAGGCATCACCCAGGGTCACCATCTACCTCCTGGACTGAGACGCCGGTGTTCTAGCGAAAGTTCCAACTCGTCGAGATCTCCGACGACCTGACTTCCGGTTTAGTTACAAGTAAGAGGTTTGGCCGAGAAGGGTGTCAAAGCGGCGGCCATATTGAGTGGGGCAACTTACATTAATAACGTGCTGGATGAGTGTGATCCTAGTTCATTGTAATACTTTATTGCTGTGCTGTATGTGTATAGGGAAATGGCGCGGGTGGCGCACGTGCAGTACAGACTTCTCGCCCCCAAATCTCTTACTTCTAACTAAACCGAAAGTCAGGTCGTCGGAGATCTCGAGGAGTCGCGGTTTTCGACAGAACACCGGCTCAGAGATGACAATCATGTCAATCCCGGTGTCTGTGCAGTTCTTATACAGCCTCTCGCCTTGTGACCGGCTACGCAGTACCAATGTAGAAGACTGCTCAGCGAGGGAGACGAGGAAATGCTTCCTCCTGCCTGCAGCAGACTGATCACTGGGGGGAGGGGAGACTGTGGAAATGCTTCCTCCTGCCTGCAGCAGACTGATCACTGGGGGAGGGGAGACTGTGGAAATGCTTCCTCCTGCCTGCAGCAGACTGATCACTGGGGGGAGGGGAGACTGTGGAAATGCTTCCTCCTGCCTGCAGCAGACTGATCACTGGGGGGAGGGGAGACTTGAGGAAAGAAAACTAACCGCCCCAACCTGTCCATCTATCTCCTACCCTGACTGCCTGTAGGCGACCCTTTAAGTCTAATTTCTTCAGGGAAGCCGATCCCAACTCAACCTAACCACTAACACTTTCTCAAACAATTCATCCCCACACAGCTACCGCCTCCTCCTCAAGTATCACTGGCCCCTCCCTCTTAGATTGTAAGCTCTCAGGATCAGGGCCCTCCTTACTATCTTGTCTTGCGATTGTAATGTCTTCCTTATATTGTACAGCGCTGCGGACACTGTGGGCGCTATATAAATCCTGTATAATAATAATAATAATTCGTCCGGCACATCTAAAGTCTGTAAAGCTGCAATATGTGACGAGGGATCATGGAGCCGGCCTCCTGACCAATCAGAAAGCAGGGCGTCGTGTCATTACACGGCGCCCTGCTTCCTGATTGGCCGGCCAGACGGCTCGGGCTGGGTACCAGAGGAAGGCCGCGTTCTCGCTTGGGAGGCCCCGGGGGTGACGGGCTGCACATACTAAGGTATGAGGGGACTTTCTGGTTAAATTGGGAAGCCGGGTGGCGAGTCTTGCCCGGCTTCCCGGCCAATCAGGAAGCCAGGTGGCGAGTCATTACACGCCACCTGGCTTCCTGAATGGGACTTCCGTTACTCGGTAATTGGTATCGGCGAGTACCGGAAATTTTTTTTATTGGTACTCTTACTCTGTACCAAAATACCGGTATCGGTGCATCCCTAGTTTAGACACACTTGCACAGGAATGACATCATCACCCGGGAACAGCCAATCAAGATGGCCGAAGATCCCGAACCTGGAAGACGACCGGGGTGATGTCGGCTCAGGGGAGGGAGTCTGCAGAGCAGAGCTGCGCTTTAATAATTAAATTTTGCTGAAATGGGACAAAAATTCACCATAAAACAAACAAATGGGGGTGACCTCTGACCTTGGGGTCGCAGTGGGCGGAGTTGGAATGTTCGGAGACTCCCCGGCGGCGGGTAATTGGCCGATGGTGTTATTCAGAACTTTAGCGGGAAGGTTGGAGTCTCCTGTGAGGTGTCCGTTAGATACAAGTGCACTCTGTGGAGGGAGAGGACGGAGAGAGAGGTTATGTACAGACCACAACACATACATCATACTGAATGGGAGGAGAGAACATTCCAGAAGGATGGACAAAGAGATAGAAGAGTCCAATGCTGATTGACTATTTGACGCGGCGCGGCTCAGATTATAAGAGCATCGAATGCCAAAACCTTCACATACAACAATCACACACATAGACCATTGTCACATGGGAGCTTAAAGCTGAACTCCAGTCACAAAATCTCTCATGTAAATATATTCTTTATTACAGGAGGGGGCGGAGATAAGACCAGTCACCCTGCACAAGGAGAGCAAAAGCAGTGACCGGTCTTTATTACAGGGAGGGGGCGGAGACAAGACCAGTCACCCTGCACAAGGAGAGAGCAGCAGTGAGCAGTCTTTATTACAGGAAGCTCCAAGGTCTCGTTCACACCTAGGCGTATTGCATATGCACGACCGTCGCGCAGTTTTTTTACCGCGATTCACGGTAAAAAAGTCGCGCGACAAACGTGCGTTTCCGAAGGCTTCTTGGCTGTATCCTAATGGAAACGCGCAACAAAACGGCCCAAAGTAGTACCTGTACCTTTTCAGGCGTGGGCCGTTTTGTAGCGCGTTAGTGACGGGCAAAAATACGCCGAGGTGGGAACGAGACCCATTGAATACAATGGGATTTAGATTTTTGAGCGTTTTGTAGAGCGTTCGTCGAGCGTAGAACGCGCTACAAAACGTTCAGGTGTGAACGAGGGCCAAGTCTCAAACTGGATTACTGCACAGATCTGGAAGAAATACACAAAGCTCACCGAGATTCAAGAATGTACAAGGGCAATATTTACTTATCCCGGAGTTCAGCTTTTAAAAAAGGTACCAAAGATCATATACGTAGACAAAGATATATACTGTATATGGGCTGGCCCGTGTAGTCCGATCCAATACAAGAGATACTGGAGATCAGATTGGTGATAAAGTGAATGTTGGTTCTGATAGAAAGGTGTCTGGCATCGCAGGTTGTTGTGTATGGGGCTGTGTACCCGCAGACCAGTCAGGGTGACCATGCTGACCCGTGTCCACCACCAAAAGTGCCTACAATGGGCACATGATCAACAGAACTGGAGCACGGAGCAATGGAGGAAGGTGGCCTGGTCTGATGTACATCATGTGGATGGCCGGGTGTGTGCGTGTCACTTACCTGGGGAAGAGATGGCACCAGAATGCATTATGGGAAGAAGACAAGCCGGCGGAGGCAGTGTGATGGGCAATGTTCTGCTGGGAAGCCTCGGGTTCTGCCATCCATGTGGATGTCCCTCTGACACCGACCTAAACCTTGTTACTGACCACCTCCCCCCCCCCTTCATGGACACGGTATTCCCGGATGGCAGTGGCCTCTCAGCAGGATAATGTGCCCGCCCACACTGCAAAAATGGTTTGAGGAACACAACAACGAGTTTGAAGTGATGACTCCGCCTCCAAATTCTCCAGATCTCAATCCAAAATCGATCATCTGTGGGATGTGCTGGAAGAACAAGTTCCGATCCATGGAGGCCGATCACCTCACAACTTACAGGACTTAAAAAAGGACAACTATGCGGTTAAGTCTTTTCCCCATAGTTCTCCTTAGGGTAACAGGAGGACACAAACTAGCGTCCTCCCGTCACCCTAAGCTCAGTATACCGCGAGTTGTAGCTCGGGGTATACTGAGACGCAGCAGCCGGGACGGATCCCGACAATTGTGCCGGGATGCGCCCAGCTGCGTGACTGACAGCTGGCTCTGCCTATCTAAAAGGCAGAGCCAGCTGTACCCGCCCCCTCCCGTTCCACCAGTCAGCGCTGGCGGATCGGAGCGGGGAGAGGGGAATCCAGCCCCTCCCCCTGTCACGGCAGGTGAGCGAACGCCGGTATGTGTTTGCTCACCTCCCGATCTACTGAGCCGACCTGACTCATTAAAAGGAGAACAATGAGGTGAGTGATTTTCAAAGGATTTGCTACTGATGGCGTGGTGCCAGATATGACAGCACACCTTCAGAGGTCTAGTGGAGTCCATGCCTGGACGGGTCAGGAGAAAGGGGACCTACTCAATATTAGGGGGGTCATCCAGATACCACAGGATACCTTCAGAGGTCTAGTGGAGTCCATGCCTGGACGGGTCAGGAGAAAGGGGACCTACTCAATGTTAGGCGGGTGGTCACACTGTTATGGCTGATAAAGATATCAATTAAGTTTTAATCATTTTATAGAAACAGAAGTCTATGGATGTCATGAACATCTTTGTGGGCGTTCTATATGATCTTTGGTACCTCGGATGCTCTATGTCTGGTATCATCCATCAGTCCCGGTGACGGGTCATTACATTTGCACTTACTGGTACATTCCAGCGGGGTGTGATGGTCGAGTAGGATGGAACCTGCCGAGAGAACACAACGGGTCAGCTGGTCTCTGGGTGAGGAGATCAATATCGTCACATTCCGTCTCCTTTACTAGAATTCTATATTAAAAAGGTGTCTGGGTTACCGGAGGAGGGGAGGGGGGGGGAGCCATGTCTGTGAGGTCGATGAGATTCTCCGTCAGCAGCGCCAGAAGGTTGTCCAGATCTTCGGTGGGACTCTGAGAAAGAGACAAAACAGACAAAAACATGAGTTGATTACCTGATAACTCTGTTTCCAGGAATCTTCCAGGACAGCCATCGAGATATAGGCTCCGCCTGCCTGCAACAGGAAACACATCAACCACATTAAATAAATAGACTCCTCCTTTTTGTAGTTTAAACTTATTTAAAAAAGTTACAACTGAATAAAAGAAATCCAGAATGGAACGGGAATAGAAAAAGCTGAACACGAGCGTCACCGCCTGACCTTCCAGCACAGCTCCATCTAAGCTCCAGTACACCGAATATTTAGGCTTTATTATGAATCATTAAAGAAGACCTCCAGGCAGATATAAATGACACACAGCAATGCAGATCTCCATTCACTCAGCCTCATAGTTCTAGCCGACCTGTGACAGACTGTCACAGGTCGGCTCGATAGGGAAGTGAGGGAACAAATACAGTCGCTCACTTCTCGATCCTGTCCCTGCAGAGTGCCGTGACTGTCAGTCACCGCTCCCCGCAGGGATTCCCCCTCAAGCGCTCCGATCCTCCAGCGCTGACTGGCGGAACGGATGGGGGAGGGTACAGCTGGCTCTGCCTCTAGATAGGCAGAGCCAGCTGTCAATCACACAGCTGGGAGGATCTCGACAGTAATGTCGGGATCGGTTCCGGCTGTGGCGGTCTCAGTATACCGCGAGCTGTAGCTCGCGGTATACAGAGCATTGGGTCACGGGAGGACGCTAGTTTGTGTCCTCCTGTGACCAGGAGGAGAACTATGGGGAAAAGCCCTGACCCCATAGTTCTCCATTAATACATCATTTAATGTATTTTCTTCAATACAAGCAGTGTAAAAACCAGGACTTGTCCTGGTATCAGCCTCTTGAAGCCCCTGTACAGCAGAGCTCACATTGGGAAAGGGTAAAGCAGCACAAGGAGCCAATCAGCTGTACTGCAAAGCTCAGGTGCTAACAAGGAACATGCCGATGGGAGGAGAGAACAGGATGACAGATGATCTCACAAGTCTGCTGCTTCTCCTTTCACTGCGCAGTCACAGACAGGAAGGGACAAGATCAGCAAGTGTTACTATATAAAAATGAGGTCTCCTTCCCTTCCAGGCAGGTCTGTGCTGTGTGGCTGAGCTGTGTACATCTCAGGACTGGATGGGCAGAAATAAAAATCCTTTGACAGGTGAAGCTGCTCCCATAGATGTATTTAATCTTTTGCCTGGAGTTCAGCTTTAAAGTAGATGTAAACCGTAACTGAATGACAGATAGTGGACCAGGATTGTGTAACGTGTGTTTAAATGTCTATTAGTCGCCAACGGATGACCATGTGACAAGGTGACAACACAAGAGCACAACCGGGAAACATCTAACTCATACCATTTTCTAACATGGATGTCAAAATGAAGGAGTGACCAAAGCCAAATATCAAAAAAGAGCTACAGTGCATCAGCATCAAATGAGAGGAAATGCAGGAACAGGGACCCCGGAGCAACCAATCAGATTTCCTGATAACTCTATACCGCTGGCCAATAAACTTTAGTAGTTACGGGAAGGCGCGTAGTGTCACCTTCATAGATCAACCTGGAAAGATCATAAACTTTTAAAACCTAAACTCTACTAAAACCTTTTTTATTTCCCTTTTACAATCCGAGTTATTTTCGTCTCTGTCCCGTACATGAGCTGCGTTCCGTGACCCCGGACAGGTGCCGCAGGTTATATTTAGAATTCACATGAAGCCGAATCACAGGAATGTGTCCACTCAGCAAGTAAACAAGAAGACGCTTCACACTCCGCCGAGCTTCTAGAGAAAGTGCTCAACACCCATAAAATACAGACCCTACATACCCGTCCATACACTACAATACGCTACAGGCCCTTCCATACGCTACAGGCCCTGCCATACCCTACAGGCCCTGCCATACACTACAGGCCCTTCCATACACTACAGGCCCTACAGACCCTTCCATACACTACAATACCCTACAGACCCTTCTATACACTACAATACCCTACAGACCCTTCCATACACTACAACACCCTACAGACCCTTCGATACACTACAACACCCTACAGATCCTTCCATACACTACAACACCCTACAGATCCTTCCATACACTACAACACCCTACAGGGCCTTCCCTACACTACAATACCCATCCGTACCCTACATAACGGTCCATACCCTACAGTAACCTACACAGCCGTCCATACACTACAATACCCTACAGATCCTTCCATACACTACAATACCATTCCATACACTACAGTACCGTACATACCATTCCATACACTACAATACCCTACAGGCCCTTCCATACACTACAATACCCTACAGGCCCTTCCATACCCTACCGACCCTTCCATACGCTACAGTAGCCTACAGACCCTTCCATACGCTACAGTAGCCTACATACCCTTCCATACACTACAGAGCCTTCCATAAACTACAGACCCTTCTATACCCTACAATGCCGTATAGACCCTTCCATACCCTACAACACCATGCAGTCCCTTCCATACACTACAATACCCTACAGACCCTTCCATACACTACAATACCCTACAGACCCTTCCATATCCTACAATAGCCTACAGACCCTTCCATACCCTACAGACCCTTCCATACCCTACAGACCCTTCCATACCCTACAAAAGCCTACAGACCCTTCCATACCCTACAAAAGCCTACATACCCTTCCATACACCACAATACCCTACAGACCCTTCCATACACCACAACAGACCCTTCTAGACATTAGAATACCCTACAGACCCTTCCATACATTACAACACTTTACATGAGGTCCAAGCACCTTACATACACCACAATAAGCTAAAGAAGGTCCAAAAACCTCTACACACTATTCCAAACACTAAAATACGCTACAGAACACCCACATCCCACAGCACCAGCCCTCAAACTACAGCCCATTCATTGCCACAGACACAAGATGGTTTACTCCAACTTACCATGACTGACACTGGGGCACGTTCTATTGCAACTGGCCATGGATACAAGAGTACTTATTGCTACCAAGTACAGCTTTAAGACTAGACTAGAGAAAAACTCAAAAGTTAGGAGGCGGCTGTCATGTGTAAGGAGCACACGGAGCTCCCGGGATTTGTACATCTGTTTTAATGTATGATTTTATTTTTATAAATATATATATATTCGGGATGCACAGATACCAGTTTTCCAACTACAAGTACTGATACATTTTTTGTTTATTGTCATGTGACAGTTTTTCTAAAACAATATTGACTATTTATTTCAGGACAGTGGTGGAGCACCAGAGCCCGGTCCCAGCTACAACCCTGGGAGGTCTCCTGAAAATGCCAAGTATCGGCACTGGTATCTGGACATCCCTATTTAGTGCTCCCTGTCACCAAGGGACATTTTTACTCCCATTGACATCCAACGCTGGACATTCTCATTACTCTTCGTGACCTTGGTCCAGTCTCCAAGCAGTGTGACAGGCTGTAAACTGGTCCGTTGTTTGAAATGTTTGGGTTCCCCTGCGTTACACACACTGGATAGCAGCCGCTCCATAATACACTCTGACGTGGGCCAATCTTCTCCATGTATGACATAAAACGTATACCAGCTGTTGCTCCACCTACCTTCACACCCGACACATCTTCCGACACCACGGATGGAGTTGACGTGTTTTCAAGTTTAGGTTCTTTGAATTCCTGGCTCCCAAAGTTTCTGAGGAAGGAAAAAAAACCCACAATTATTCCAACCGTCCCAGGAACACAGCTGTGCAGAACACATGGAGGCATTTGGACTTTAAAAGTCAAAAACACAGCTGAAGAGTTACATGAACAGCTGAAACCCATAAAAAACAGGAATTATCTGTGAAGGATTTGTAAAGTACAAACTGTGTCATGTAGTGGTGTAGGGATCAGAAGGAGGAACCACAGAAGTGCATCAGGGGCCCCGGACACCCCCAGACTCATCAAATACTGTATCTCTTGAATATGGAGGGCAATGGGATCACGGGCAGCTGTACAGGAAAGTATTAATATTATTTTCCATGCAGCTTTTTGCTTTGTGTTAGGGGATGACATTGAAGGACGGACGGATCAAATCGACACCCAAAACAAAAAGGACCTCTGTAACATTTCACAGATTAGAACCAAAACACAATGATGTAACAATGTAACAATCATCCCGCAGTATATCCGCAGTCACAGTGTTGCCTGTAAAACACATTTCTGTAATTTTTATCATTTTATTGCCGGTGCAATGTGCAGTTCAGGGGATGGAAAAATGACAATAAACCGGTTATACCTCCTCCACAGGTCACTGCGGGTTATCCCGTGCCATGTGCAAGACAAGGAGGAATGAGGTCAGGGAACTTTGCCCATACATAATGCTCTGTGTACAGTCTTCTAAAACAAGCACAATGGCAGTATCTATTCACAGTTTAAAGGGTTAGTTCACCTTAAATGACATTTAAAAAAAAAGGAGAACTATGAGGCGGGTGCTTTTCACTCATCCTCATAGTTCTAGCCGACCTGTGACAATGAGACTGTCACATGTCGGCTCAGTAGATCGGGAGGTGAGCGTACACATACCGGCGTTCGCTCACCTCTCGATCCTGTCACGGCAGAGCTGCCGTGACAGGGGAGGGACTGGATTCCCCCCTCCCCGATCCTCCAGAGCTGGCTGGCAGAACGGACGGGGGAGGGGGCGGGTACAGCTGGCTCTGCCTCTAGATAGGCAGAGCCAGCTGTCACTCACGCAGCTGGGCGGATCCAGACATAATTGTCGGGATCCGCTTCAGCTGCGGCGTCTCAGTATCCCGCGAGCTGCAGCTCCCTATATACTGAGCCTAGGGTGACGGGGGAGGACGCTCATTTGTGTCCTCCCATTACCCTAAGGAGAACTATGGGGAAAAGCCCTGACCCCGTAGTTCTCATTTAAAAGAAAAAAAATCAACATACATTACAGCTTGGACTCAAAGTTAAAAAACACTTTCCTCCAAATGCCAAAAAGATTATTTTCTATTTGCCGCCATCGCGGCCTCACCCTCATCATTCCACCAACATCGCAGAACGGACCAACCATTGGATGCGTGGCCCCCGGCCCCTCATGAACATGAGAAATCCGCTTACCTAACCACACATGCGCAGCCCGCTCTTTCTCACAGCATCGTCCGAGCTCAGTGTTCGGCGAGTGGGAGGGAAAGCATGGACCGGGCATGCATGGTTAGGGGTTGTTCGAGGGACTTGGCCCACGCATCCACTGTATCTATGGAAGAGAAGCAATGTCACCCTAGGACAGGGATAGCCAAACTTCTCCCTTCCAGCTGCGGTGAAACTTTAAATCCATTCATGCCCCCTGGAGTCATACCCATTGCTGTCGCAGTCTTGCTATGCCTTATGGGACATGTAGTTCCTCAACAGCTGGAGGGCCGAAGTTTGGACTCCAGAAAGCCCCCCTCCCCCATAACCTAAGGGTTGAGCTCTGTAGTTCACAGAAGTGAAATGGGCAGGGTTGATAACACTGCTTGGGACTTAAAGGAGAATTATGAGGGGAGCGATTTTCACTCGGCCTCATAATCTGAGCCGACCTGTGACAATGAAACGGTCACAGGTCGCCTCAGTAGATCGGGAGGGAACACATACCGTCGCTCTCTCACTTCTCGATCCTGTGCCTGCAGAGAGCCGTGACCGTCACTCACGGCTCTCGGCAGGGATTCGCCGCCCCTCCCCTGTCCGATCCTCCAGCGCTGACTGGCGGAACGGACGGGGGAGGGGGCGGGCACAGCTGGCTCTGCCTCTAGATAGGCAGAGCCAGCTGTCACTCACGCAGCTGGGCGGATCCAGACAGTAATGTCGGGATCCGTCCCGGCTGCGGCGGTCTCAGTATATAGGGAGCTACAGCTCGCGCTATACTGAGCTTTGGGTGACGGGAGGACGCTAGTTTGTGTCCTACCATGGACAACAATCAAAGAGAATGGGGCTTTTTAGGTGACTTCTAGACAATGCAAAGAGGTTGACCTAGAATGACCTAGACACATATGGAATTCAGATGGGAGACATTGACTCATACATTTATTGATACACACAGAAGATTAGGGACAATTGTAGCATATTTTAGAGCTGTTCTACATATCCACTGATTTAAAAAGGCTTAGGAGCGGTTTTCAAATCTTCATCTTATATCCACTTTTGTTTTGTTGGGACAGATGTGCCCCCAGGTCACCTCTACCTCTCCCTATCTCCTGGCTGAGTGGAGGAGCTCACCTGGGTGCGAATTTGCTCGTCATCAGAAATCTCCGATATATGGTATAGACGTATTTCTCTATTTAATGACCTATGTATGTTTTACAGAGCTAGTGTGTTATTTTGAGCTAATTGGATTTTTATTCTAATATTCATATGGATTTCACAGGCCACCTCTATAAACCTCTTGATAAAACTACGGCGAAACGCGTCGAAGAATGGATAAGTAGAGATTTGTCAGAGGAAATATGGAACAATATGAAATATGTGACAAGATACCTGACCAACTAACTATGGACATTGTTATAATGTACTCAATGTTAAAGAATATTATTGCCATTGTGCAACATCCAAATCTGTACGGGATCCTAGAGGTGTTATGCTGATTATACATGTAATGTGGTCCTGTCACAAATGATTGTATTACGTTTTATGAATTCAATGTTTGCTAGCCAGGATATTAATCTATATTAAATATGTATTTATTAGGAAATGAGCTACGTGTCATTATGTCTAGCTGCATCTCTTTGCATTGTCTAGAAGTCACCTAAACAGCCCCATTCTCTTTGATTGTTGTCTATGAAATTATTCAGGGGTTGGTGTCTTCTTCTGGTGCTGATCCCAACATTTTTTCATTTGTGTCCTACCATGACCCTTAGGAGAACTATGGGGAAAAGCCCTGACACCATAGTTCTCCTTCAAGGGCAGCAGAGGCAATGTGTTGTCAGCACACTACAGGAAGCTATCAGCTTACTGTTTTTGCACCAATACAACAAAATATTTGCAATGATTTACCATCTCCTTAAAACTTCCCAAACTATGTAATGAGATGACACTGCCAGACTGCAATGTGCGTGGCCCTCTTTTGTTTTTCTGGGCTAGCTGCGGCAGAGAACCTTATGGCAAGATGTACGGGTGTATTGTGACCGTTGGCCAACGTACGGAGATGAACCAGTTTAAAAACAGCAGACAATAGAAATGCTACTCACGTGAGGAAGACGCAGTGCGCAGGAGGCGGGGTCTCTCGCAGATCTGGGAATTCCTGTGGCTGGACGAGATTATTCAGCTTCACAGCTACCCCTCTGAAAAAAAACAAAATGGCGATTATAATCTTTATAAACAACATTCGAACCCACAAAGCTCCCACAGAGAGGGATTCCGGGGACACTGACCGGGGGGAAGGATCTTCAATGAACAGATTCTTGTTGGTGATCCCCAAATCGTCTCTTGTGACCTGCAACACAAACATAACAAGGACTCACTTCATGTGCAGAGAGCGGAAGGAACGGTTGCTCAGTCTTGATGAGGGGGGGGGGGGGGGAGAAGAATCGCAAAACGCGTTAGCTTGTTTTCTTTTCAATGACTTCCACATGAATGTTATACCTTCTGAATCCACATTATAAGGAAGGAGAAGCCCTTCCAGACTCAAGTGGTGCCCCCATTTATTCAAGGCTCATGCATCTTTAGATTGTAAGCCCTCAGGGCCCTCCTTACCATCTGTCAGGATCCAGAGCACCCCCAGGTGGCGCTGGAGCCAGGTCCTGCAGTTCCTGTGCTCGCCTGCGGGTGTCTCCAGCAGCCAGTGACTGTAAGGAACCTGCAGCTCCAGTACTCACCTGCGGGTGTGCCCCAGCTGTGAGTGATCATCCCATCACCTGGTGCTTCCTGGGAGGGTATTTAGGCCCTCCCTGCAGTCAGGAAGCTGGCTCAGTATTGTGTCGCCTGCACTTGACTGCTACCTGAACCCAGCTACCTGAACCCAGCTACCTGAACCCAGCTACCTGAACCCAGCTACCTGAACCCAGCTACCTGAACCCAGCTACCTGAACCCAGCTACCTGAACCCAGCTACCTGAACCCAGCTACCTGAACCCAGCTACCTGAACCCAGCTACCTGAACCCAGCTACCTGAACCCAGCTACCTGAACCCAGCTACCTGAACCCAGCTACCTGAACCCAGCTACCTATCTGCAGACCTGTCACCGACCCGGCTTGTTACCCGACCACTCTTCTTGGATCCTGTTTCTGTACCGTGCTGCCCTCCTGTTAACGACCTGGCTTGTACCTGACCATTCTTCCTAAATCCTGTACTGTGCTGCCCTCCTGTTAACCCTCCTTGTTACTTCACTGCTAAACCTGTGGGGGTTTGAGGGGGTTAGTAGTTTTGTTTGATGGTAACAAATAAACTGTGCATAGAACCCTATCCTGTGTGGGCATATTAATTTGGTCATCCTGCGTGGGTACCTGCATGAGGTGTGAGGACGCCTGTACACGGTACCCTGACACAATCTTTGTCTTGATTTGTATTGTGATTGTAATGTCTTCCTTATATTGTACAGCGCTGCGCAAACTGTTGGCGCTATATAAATCCTGTATAATAATAATAATCTCCTGCGCTCCTCCAGATACAGGGTATTGAATAATGGGATAACTCCCCCCCCTCCTGTTGACATGCATGATATGCGCCTCGTCTTTGCATCTCTAGAATCAGTAAATAAGCCGACTGCGCTAACATTAAGGCTGGGTTCACACCTAGGCGTATCGAATATGCGCCTTTGTCGCGCGTTTCGTGACGCGCGTTTTTACCGCGATTCCCGGTTAAAAAAAACGTGCTACAAACGCGCGTTTCCGAGGGCTACTTGGCTGTATCCCAATGGAAACGCGAGACAAAAACGCCCCAAAGAAGCTCCTGTACTTTTTTGGGCGTAGGGTGTTTCGTAGCGCGTTCATACGGCCTGTAATACGCCCAGGTGTGAACCATACCCATAGGAAATAATGGGATTTCTGTGTTTGAGCGTTTTGAAGAGCGTTCGAACGCGCTACAAAACGCCCGGGTGTGAACCGGGCCTTAAGTTATATTTCTCTGTAGATACACCTTCATACAAGTTCACCCGACAGATATATTCCATGTGCCGTACATGCCTAATCCTCACCTTGTGTTCAGCCTCGGCCTGAGCCTTCAGAATATTGCTCTTCATGTCTGCGGGCAGCCAGATCGGAGTGGACGGCGGAGCTTCAATCTGGTTATTGAGACATTTCTCCACCAGCTTCACTGTGTCCTCCTGCAAGACAAGGTCAAGGGTCAGATTGGGCTATTCATTGGAGGAACGGAGGATAAAAGCTCCAGTCCACCAGACTCTGGATGGAACAGAAACCAGCAAAGATCTGGGGCAAGAGGACAGAGACTCGTAGACTAGGCAAGGGAAGACTTAGGGGAATGGTAAGGGAGAGGCTATGAATGAAGGTCCGAGATGGGGAATTGACCTGGGCAGAGATTGAGGACCATCACCTTTACTCTACTGCTTATACAGTAGGAGTTACCCAAAAATATGATCAAAAGATAGTTCCACATAGAAAACTGCAACCATTTCAAATGGAATCAGACTGTGAATACAAAAATCGGTCATAAGAAAAAAATACGGCCAGACTTTTCAGGTCAGGTCAACTTTTTGAACAATTCATTGAAAAGGTGCAACCTCCGTTTGATGGAACGGGAGGGATCACTTATCTAGATATTGTTTATAATGTTTCAACTAGGAGGTGCACCGAAATGAAAATGTCAAAACTGAAAACGTAACCGAAATAAAATAAAAATTGTCAGGCCAAAACCGAAAATGTTTTTTTATTTAATTTTTTTTCCAGTTTTAATATTTTTTTTTTAATAACCTTAATTTATTTTAATTTAATATTTTTAACTTTTCTTTTAGGGGCTTCAGGGAAATATTGGGGGTGTAAACAGACCCCTGATTTTTCCCTTTTAAAATATACAGGAGGCTGAGCGAGCGGTGTAGAGAGCTCAACCTTCTTTGACAGCGCGCGCTGTCTCCGCCCCCACACCGCTCAGGCGGACTGTGATAGGAGGCTGAGCGGTGTGGGAGGAGAGATGCCGGCCGCTCGCAGCGCTCGGCCGGCTGTCGCACTTTCTCTCCTCCCCGCTGGGACACAGAGCAGCGCCCAGCGGGGGAGGAAAGAAATCACGGATGTGACGATGTATCGGCAGGACACTGGCACTTTCGGCATTTAGCCCAAAGTGCCATTTTCGGGCCGATAAGTTTCAGCGGCTGATATATTGGGGCATCCCTAGTTTCAACTATTTAACCTCAAATACTATGTAACTGTGCATTAACAATGGACTGGCCCTGTAGGGTCACCAGGCCAGGATATGGTCCACTGGAGCCGATGGCATGACACGAAATGATGTCCTATGGAACGGTACAATAAGGGAGCCAAGACAAAGTAATCAGCTGGCTTCACTGACATGACCCCGGAGGGCTACTCGGTGAGAGACAGCAATCGCGAACAGAAAATTTAAGCAAAAAAAAAAAAAAAGGGGAACTATCAAGGAGGTCAAACCAAGCAAAAACTTAATTTAACCACTTAAGGACAAAAGGGCCTTTTTTTAAATGTTTGTTTATATAATTCACATTTGGGCCTGAAAATGACTTCAAACCCCCCAAACATTATATATTTTCTGAAAGCCGAGACCCTATAAAATAAAAAAAAAAAAGTCAAAAATAAATAAATGGATGTCTGCCCATGTGGTGCAGAAATGAAACGTGTCGGGTGGAATGTCTGCTCTGCACCGCCGCGGTCTATGTCTACCTCTGACGGACGGGATCTCCTCTTTGGACAGTTGGTGGCCCTGTACCTGTTTGCCTCCATTGACGTTACATCTCAGCGCAGGCGGGGCCCCGTTTTTGGCTTCCACGCCGACCACTTTCACATCTTCAGACGCTGGAAAATAACCACAAAATCACAAGACGTCACAACAACCGAAGATTTTTTATGGTTTTGGCTCTGTAAATTATTATATTGCCGTCCACCATCCCCCAGAACGATGACCCGGCATCAAGAGACGGCGCGGGTTTATAGCTCGGTCGTATAAAGTTTTATTATTGAAAACGAGAGAGTTTGCCCTAATTTTCCCTCTGGAAAGAATCAGAGTTCCAGAGTCTATTCAAACACACAATTTGCTGTTGTCATCATGGGCAAAACACAGGCCGTCACACTGACACCGACTATTATCAATTCATAGTCTGAACCGACCTGGTGGGCAGAAGATGGACCCCAACTATTGACATATTCTTAAAAAGCATTAAAAAAGGAGAACTATGAGGGGGGAGGGGGTGCTTTTCACTCATCCTCATAGTTCTAGCCGACCTGTGACAATGAGACTGTCACAGGTCGGCTCAGTAGATCGGGAGGTGAGCGAACATATACCGGCGTTCGCTCACCTCTCGATCCTGTCACTGCAGAGAGCCGCGACAGGGGAGGGGCTGGATTCCCCCCCTCCCCGCTCCGATCCTCCAGCGCTGACTGGCGGAACGGACGGGGGAGGGGGCGGGTACAGCTGGCTCAGCCTCTACATAGGCAGAGCCAGCTGTCAGTCACGCAGCTGGGCGGATCCAGACATAATAGTCGGGATCCGCTACAGCTTTGGCGTCTCAGTATACCGCGAGCAGCAGCTAGCGGTATACTGCTACAGCTCACGGTATACTGAGCCTAGGGTGATGGGAGGACGCTAGTTTGTGTCCTCCCGTTACCCTGAGAACTATGGGGAAAAGCCCTAACCCCATAGTTCTCCTTTAAAAAGGAGAACTATGAGGTGTTTTCCCCCATAGTTCTCCTCAGGGTAACAGGAGGACACAAACTAGCGTCCTCCCATCACCCAAAGCTCAGTATACCGCAAGCTATAGCTTGCGGTATACTGAGACGCCGAAGCTGTAGCGGATCCCGACAATTATGTGGTATACTGAGACATACAATGCATGTATGGATGGAGCTCAATCACAGCAGCCCACATCGGACCCCAGGCTGAGGATCCACTCCAGCTCTCGTAAGGTATGGAGACTGGGTGGATCTTTTGAACGGCATCCCAAACGCACCTCCCACCCATTGTTCGACCAATGCTGTGCGTTCCATTGCAGTGCGACTTGGGTCGCGACTTAATGACCAAGGACAAATGCGGGTCCTGAGGTTATACAGGTTGAGAACCGCTGATGTACACAAAGCTCACCAAGATTCAAGGAAGAACCAGCATTGTATATAGAGGATATTTGCTTATCCCCGAGTTCAGTTTTAGGAGATCCAGCACCCCCACACATTTCTTCTACGTCCAGCAGTAAAAACATGACAGGGCCTCTTATCCCCCTCAGCTATACCCAAAGCAACATAAAGTTCTTGTCAGCCATAGGAGCCCTTCCTTGGAAAGGTTTTATATATAAAGTGCAATACGGGAAATGATCACTGACCTGGCGGGATGTCCACTCGCTCCGCGGGCTTCTCCTCTAAGCCGGGGTTGGAGAAGGTCAGACCTCCCAGGTCCAGTACCGGCGCGGGACTCCCAGAAACCGCAAGTGCCAAAACTTCATCCAGTTTGCTCCCCAGCAATTCTTGCCCGTCAGTCAATCCTACAAAGCTGCGGAGAGGGCAGTGGGGGGAAAGTGAGACCCTGACGCACAGGGAGCAAGGGAGAGCAAGCTCCCGGCTGCGCTGACCTGCGATACGCTGCCACCTCTGTATCTCCTCAGGGTGCCGAGATTTCTGCAGTGCTCTGCGTGTTGGTGATGCGGTGCGGCGGATAACTTTACAGGAGGAAAAATATTCCAATACCAGGAACTGTCCTTATGTAGGCGGCTCAGATCCATTGAAAGACACTGGAAGCTCTGACCGAGCAGGGAAACGTATTGGAAGCGTCACCGGCTTCACCTTGTTCCATTATCCCAACATATTTCACTCCCTTGAAAGGATGACCATTACTCAGGGGACCCACTGTGCCTCCTGCACCTAATGTTATACATAATGTAAAGGAAGGGTAAGGATAGAGGAAGAAGCAGAGTCCTCCAGCAGAGCAGAGTATTACAGGAGAGTTATAGAGGAAGGAGCAGAGTCCTCCAGCAGAGCAGAGTATCTCAGGAGAGGAGAGTTATGGAGGAAGGAGCAGAGTCCTCCAGCAGAGCAGAGTATTTCAGGAGAGGAGAGTTATAGAGGAAGGAGCAGAGTCCTCCAGCAGAGCAGAGTATTTCAGGAGAGGAGAGTTATGGAGGAAGGAGCAGAGTCCTCCAGCAGAGCAGAGTATTTCAGGAGAGGAGAGTTAT